TACTTAAAAGCTAAACAACTGAATCCTTAACTTCATTCACTAATTAATCGATTCACCCCGTAGGAAATTTTGTTAAGATCACTGTAGACATTTAGAAAAAGGTTAAATGTTAAATTTGGTCCCTCAACTTTAGTGAGTTACACATTTTTGGTCCTTCAACAATTTTTTGCATTTTTTTGATCACTCAACTATACAAAATGCACTCCGTTAGTCCTTCTATTAGTTTGGGCCGTTAACCCTGTTTAGGTAGCATTTTTTATATCTTTTTTGATGAGGTGGAGAGCAAAACTTAAAAAGGTGATGATTTGCATAAAACTTTTGCCATGTCACATACTACCTGTCAAAAACATACCAAATCCATCCAAGTGGGTCTCACATCACCACTAAGAATTGCTTCTTTCCCCATCGGTTACTGTTTCTATTCTTTTCATAAACGGTGTTGTTTTCATTTTCAAGATTGAAGTTTGACAGAACAGAATCTAGCAAATACATTCCATCAAACCCAGCTTGATTCACTGAACTCAATGACCCAAAAATCCCTGTAATTTGGATAATCTCTTGGCAAACAATCATATAACCAAAAAAAAAGAAACCAGTTGCCCAAAAATCCCTCACAACAACCTGCAATTCGAATAATCTCTTGGCAAACAATCATATAAACAAAAAAAAAAAAAAAGTGGAGCTGGGTTCTGGGTTCTGGGTTGGTCGAACCCAGCAACTGGGTTCAATGACCTGAGGAAGAAGAGGAAGAAAGAAGAGGAAGGAAAAAAAAGAAAAAGAGAAAGGAAAAAGATGAACGTGAGTTATTTTATTTTATTTTTTAAAAATATAAATAGTAATAATGTGAGTTGGCATGAAAAAAAAATTCACGTCAACACATTTTCAATTTATTTTTGTCACGTCATCAAAAAAATTATAAAAAATACCACATAAGCAAGTTAACGATCGAAATTAACAGAAAGATTAACGGAGGGCATTTCGTATAGTTGATGGATAAAAAAAGTGCAAAAAATTGTTGAGGGACCAAAAATGTATAACTCACTAAAGTTAAGGGACCAAATTAAACATTTAACCTTAAAAAAAGACCAATGTGCTGACGTGACACATCCAATAAATATTGACAATAATAAAGACATGTAGAAAAAGACCAATATATTGACCTGACACAACCCATAAATATTCACAACAACGTCGGGCCGCCAACTTTGGAAAAAATTATGGTGCACAAAGCAAGCACCTACAACTAGGGGTGAACAAAACCGGTTTTAGATTAAAACCGAAACCGATTTTAAAATAATCGAAATTTTTTTTCTTTAATTTTAAAAATTGAAATCAAACCAAAATTATTATAAATGATCGATTTAATTAT